TAGGGGTGGACACGCCCGACCTGCAACTGGAAGGGAACAGCCGATGTCACCATCTAGGGATGGGAATCGGCCGCCCTCGTGCCAGGGCCACGCCAGTGGGGATAGGGCTCGGTGCAGCGATGCTCAGGCAGCAAGCGCCGGGGGGTCGAGGATTGAAGGAGCGTGGCCCTCGACGAGGGAGGGGCCCCGACCGGCCCCCAAATCGCCACCGAGGGTACCCAGGAGGCGCACGAAAGGCGCCCGTTGTTTTGTTTGTTTTGTTGTGTTTTTTGTTTTTGTTTGTGTTCTCTCTCTCTCTCTCTCTCTCTCTCTCCCCCCCCCCGGTTTATCGCCCCCCCCTGAACGAGGCCCTCATCCCGGCGAGGAGTCCGCGCGAAGGAGGTCAGCAGGGCTTGGCACCCCAGCGTTGGGATCGGGAGTTTCCTGGAGCCCCCGCGTGGCTGATGGAGGAGCATCGGCGTCCGAGTACCTCGGGGACTCGGTGGGCCGCGAGGGCAGCACGTGCCGAGAGAGGGCGGGGCACCTCCCGGGAGGGCTCGGCCTGTTGGCGCAAGAGCAGTGCGGTATAGGTTCGTGTCGCGTCGACCGGCGGTGGCCCTGCCGCTGGCGTTCCATGTCGAGCGCCGGTGGCGGCCCAGAATCGGTCGATGTGGAACTGTCGGACGTTGCGGAAACGACCGATCGCTCAAGGTGGAACGATGCCCGCGGTGTCATCGCAGGCCCAGAAGTTGACACCAACACCAAGATCGGCGGTGTGGCTCCACCGAGGGAAGACGATCCCGATCTCGGTTATGGTGGTAATATTCTGGCTTCCAAGGTGGCCAAACTATTACCACCAACACCGAAATCTAGGATCATCTTCCCCCTGCGGAGGCAACCCCCTGTATTGGTGTTGGTGCCAATTTCTAGGCCGCCAATGTCAGGAACGAACGCCGGGGTCGAACGGCACGAGCCTGCAAGGGCGGGCATAGTTTTCTCGGGGCGGGCGGCGAGGGCAGCCTGCCGAGAGGGCGGGGGGCTTCCTGGAAGGGCTCGGCCTGTTGGCGCAGGAGCATTTACCCCGGGCGGGTAGCTTTCTCGGCACGGTGCGTCCCGATGCCCGGTCTTTGCCTTCCTGTAGCGGGAGGAGCGCGGTGGGGGCGAGGGGCGGGAAGGGAGAAGGGGGAGAAGGGGGAGAAGGGGGCGCACGGGGAGGAGGGGCGGGACGGGGAGGAGGGGGAGGAGGAGGAGGAGGAGGAGGAGGAGGAGGAGGAGGAGGAGGAGGAGTTGGGGGGAGAGGGAAGCAGAGCAGGGGAGAGGGAGGGCGAGGGCAAGCTGGGTGCGTTCGCGGCATATCCGACCTCCTACCCCCGGTCTCCCATCTCTCCAGTTGCGTAGGTGTTTTCTCCATCCGCGGGCGTGTGGCATAGCCTCAAGTCGGGCATGCCCCTCCACAGGAGGAAGATTCACAGATAGTTTAAAACATATAGTCGGGGGGACGACTTGTGTCAGTATTTTTTGATTTGGAGTTCAAGAAAGACCCCTATCGCATTATGCGCAGTCGGAGGAGGAAGACGAGGAGGAAGAGGTGACGGGTGAGCAGGAGGACAAGTAGGACGACGAGGAAGGAGGAGGATGGGGACGAACAGCAGTAGCAAGGACTTGAGAGGAAGGAGTGGGAGGAACAGGAGGACCAGGAGAAGGCGGAGAACGGAAAATGAGGGGGGCGACAACGATGAAAAAGGACTCGGATCGATAAAATCGGCTCTCGCAGGGGAAGGCGGAGAAGGTGAAACGAGGGGGGCGACAACGATGAAAAAGGACTCGGATCCATGAAATCGGCTCTCGTCGAGGCGAGAGCGCTATTCTGAAAGACGCAGGCACAGCGCTGATCCGAAAATGAGGCTCACGCTGCAGCGGGAACACCATTTTAGATACCGAAAAGAATCGGAATGCTAAAATACAGGGAAACAGCAGCCGAAGATCTCCAGCACAGAGTCAGGGGAGATAGGAGAGAAGTATTCACAACGCGAAATTGTTCACGGATGAAGGCGGGGGAGGCGCCTCGAGCGAGAGGAAGGGGGAGTTGGAGGAGGGGGGGGGATGATGGAGCTGGTGCCGCCCGCACATTGTAGAGGCGGCAGCCAGTACCTCTGAGTTGTCGTATTCGCTGGCCGGTTCCTCCGTTTCCTTGCCCTCCTATCATCTTCTTCCCTCCCATCCCAGCGAGGAGTCCTCGCACTCCCCCGGCCCCCCGTCCCTCCCTCGTCCTGCCGCAACCCGACTGCGCGTTGCGGCTGCCTGCCCGTGGTGGAGACGTCTCAGGCCGAGGGGTCGGATGTTGGATCGCACTCTGCGCCACTGGCCGGATACTGCCCTGGCTCGCGCTCTTCCTCGTACAGTCAAGATTCCCTGGGATAAGGACCACTTTGGGCCAGGGAAGGGCCGTGGCTTCTGGGCCGTTCCTCTGACTCGGGCCAGGGAAGTTTTTTTCGTGGCCGAGGCTCGCCGTGGCCAGTAAAGGCCTTTTGTCCCTTCCTCAGCGTGTCTTGTGGTGGCACGCTGGCTGTAGCGCCCTGGTTGGCAACCCAGCCTTCATCCCTGCGGCACCCAGCCCTGGCTCGCGCTTGACTCCTACCGCCCTGGTTGGAAACCCAGGCATCCTCACTTGTCCTGGCTCGGGTCCTACTAGAGTCAGAAAAGGAAAAAAAACATAAACACAAAGGGTTTTATTGGTTTTACGCCGGAAGGGGGCGTCGTTGAGAGGGTACCTGGCACGGTTGTGGGGATCGGAGTGGCGTCGGTGCTTGGAGCTGGCGGTTTGCGTGGCAAGTGCGTTGAGCTGACCGCATTTGTCTGGAACGCGCGACGGGTGGAAAGGCCGCTAACCAGCAATTGGCAGTCCTCTGCCTGCGTTCAGAACATATCGTCGCGCACTCGCAACGGGGTGTGGGAAAGGGGGTTGGAAGAAAGCGCGGGTCTCCTTCCCAATAGCTCCCTTCGATAGGCAGCTAACAGCCCTTGTTCCTATTCATTTGCCGCACGGCCAACCGAACGAACGAACAGCTGTCTCGGCGCGCAGCGTTAGCTTCGCTTGCGCGCGTCCCTGCTTCATTCCGTTGCTTCCTTCGTTTTTTTCTTGCCCTCCTCTTTCTTTTCCTCTCCCCCTCCTTGGCCTTGTCCCGCCCCCCCTTCCTTTCCAGCTCGGAGCTGTCACCGCGCGCGAAAATCGTAATCCAAAGGGCGTTGCTATGATTCCTTTGTGTGCCACGAAGTCTCGTGTAATTCCTTTGTGTGCAGTCTGGCTACATTGCCACCGCGGGGGGCACACAAAGGATTTTCCTTTGTGTACGATCGCTTTCGCCGGCTCCACAAGGGCACGCGCGATTCGCTTGTGTAGAGCTTGTTTTCCCGCCTCGAGGAGCGCGCGGGGCCTGGCGCTACAAACGCAAGGCCGCGGCGCCTGGCAGTGCGATGCAGCTGCGCCAAGTACCGCGCCCAAATCGATCCTACGTGGATTTCGGCATTTATGCCGAAATCGTGCTGGCAGCTGGCCGGCCGCATCGCCGGCCCTGATGCCCGCGCGCGCTACTGCGTTCTGCTGCCGCGACGCGTGCCGTTGTCAACGGATGAACAAACTGACGTTGCATGGTGGTTTGGCTGTGCCAAACCCCCATGTAATGTCTGTTGGCAGCGGAGCTTGGGATCTTGTCGCCGCCGACAGCGCTGCCGCACCATACCTTTTTAAAAACTGCATCTTAGAGCACGGCCGTGCATCAACCCTGGTTCAGATCGCCGGGGATCCAGTGGCATGGGTGCACATGCGTTGCACCGTTAGTGGTGCCAAAACCCTTTGTGAGAAATTCCTTTGTGTGTTTTCCTGGACCTTATAGAAGGCCGCCTTTGGCGGAGGAGGGCGAGGAGGACGAGCAGGAGTAGGACCAGAAGGACGAGGACATGGAAGAGGAGGAGGAGGAGGATCAGGATGATCAGGAAAACGAGGGGGACGAGGATGATTCGGAGGATGAGGAGAAGGAGGATCAGGAGGAAGGGGGGGGCGAGGAGGAGGAACGCATCGCAGCCGTGGCGCCATCAGCGAAATGGGGAATGGGAATTGTCCGCCCCCCGCTGAGCAGACCAGTGGGCTGCAAATCCTGGGAAGTTAGATTCAGCACCGGCGCTGGTATACCGGTGCCGAAATCTGGCCGAATCCAGCGCGATCCCGCGTAATGATGATCCTTCCTTCTTCATATGGCTCAATTGAGTTTTTCTTTTGGCTTAACCTGGATGTTCTGGCTAAGGGGCCCCCCGAATCGTAATCATTATTCCTCTGACCTCCCAGGACGGATTTTCGCATGCGCGCCGAGGCGCGGCCTTTTTAAGAAAGCAACGGTGGCGCCGTGGCACCGTGCATTCGGAGTGAAATTTGGGAAAGCTCTAGCAATACAACGCAAGAGTGAAACAGGAAGGATGGGCGAGAAACGTTTTCTTATTCATTGTTTTGCCGATCGGCGCGGGCCTTCGCACCCCCCCGCCCCCCTCCCCCATGGAGTAGATATTGGCTGTTTTTGGCGCCTGTTTCGAGCAGGTGGAATCCCTCCCCCATAGGACGCACTGCTGCAAACAGCGCATTAGGCAGAGGTCCGGAGCCAGCCCCCCCCTCTCATTTGCCACCCCCCCGGCTTCCGCCCAATGCCGAAGCGACGAAGAAGAGAACGCTCCCAATTGGAGGCAGACAGAGCTGGCTTTATGTCGGACCTGTCCCCCTACAGGGGGATTTTTGACGAAATAAATAAATACATAAATATATATATATATATATACTTAATAAAGAAAAAGGGTAAAAACATAGCCAAACATAGTCACTGGATTATTTTGTTATTATTTTTGGAGCGAAAATCCCCCTGTAGGGGGACAGGCCCGACTTAAAGCTGGCTCCCAAAATCCAGCCTGGAGGCGGTGCGGGCCGGGGGAGCCCCCCGCCCTGCGCGGCTCTGGGGCCCCTGGGCTCGACCCCCCAGGCGGTGCTGGTGCCGGCGCCGCGGCTGACGGCGGCATGCTGCAGGCCCCACTGATGCAGCCCCACCAGGAGGATCGAGGAGGATCGAGGAGAAGGAGGAGGAGGAGGAGGAGGAGGAGGAGGAGGAGGAGGATTGAGCAGGAGGAGGAGGAGGAGGATTGAGCAGGAGGAGGATGAGGAGGATCGAGGAGGAGGAGGAGGAGGATCGAGGAGGAGGAGGAGGAGGAGGAGGATCGAGGATCGAGGATCGAGGATCGAGGATCGAGGAGGAGGAGGAGGAGGAGGAGGATCGAGGAGGAGGAGGAGGAGGAGGAGGAGGCTGCTGAGGCTGCTGATGATACTCTCCGTACCAATGGAGGCTGGCACACTGGCCGGGGCCTCCCGAGCTTTCGCCGAGAAGCCGTGCTGAGCCAGTGCCCAGCGAGAAAACGAGCCGCCCCGCCGATGCCGAGTAGCAGATGCCAAACCCGATGGCCCAGCGAAAATCTACGAGGGCCTCATCCTATGCTGGCCTCCTCATCCTCCCAAGCTGTGTCGACTCCCTCGCGCCGGCGTTGGGTCTTCTCCCAATCCACCAGCGCCTCAGGGGAGCTAAAACCGTGCAGCTGGGCAACGCGAGCTGCTTCAAAGCGGGGCAAGCACACCACGGCGGAGCTCCGTTCTGTACCCGCGTCGGCCAAAGAAGCGGATGACCCCACAGCCACATTGTCTGGCTCCCCCCGGCATTCCAGCAAAGGACCCCAGACAACCCTGATCTCAACCGACGGCCCGACGGCACGGCCGATGGGGGCGTTGCCCAAATTGTGGCCAGGAAACAGACCGCGGCGTAGCCTCGAACGGTGCGTCTTGAGACCTGGGTGGCCTGGGCCTAGACACTGGGACAAGAGGCCCCGTGTAGCGTTGTGCACCGAAGTCCCGCAAAACTTGCAGAAGAGAAGATCGCAGAGCATCTCTCCCGCAGCCTGCACAGAAGCCTGGACCACTGAACGTCCACGAGGGCCCACGGTACCCCGGCTGATGCGATGAAGCCCTGAGGAGGAGCGGGGGGCGGAGGCGGAGCGAGCAAGGACCCCGACGCCCCCGCAGTGCCGGGACCCTGCTGGGTTGGCTGCACCCTTGCCTGCTCGCATGCCTCTAAAAGGGCTTCGGAGTATTCATCGTCGAATCGGATGTCAGCGGTGCCGGCAATGCCATCCGAATCGGGCTGCTCCAGGGTACCGAAAGCAGCCTGGGCTCGGCCATGCTACATGGCGCAGTCTCTCGCAATCCGCTCGCAACCTGAAACGAACAAAGGCCACTGCTCCGGAATCCCCCAGAGCAAGGCACCTTTCTTGGCATATTTGTCGGCCATCTTATTTCCACGAACAATCCAGACATCGTGGTCGGTCAATGCGGCCGCCTCAGAAGTGTGAGCTTTCACTTTGTGAACTTGGGCCTGACGGTCAACGTCGGACTCGGGATCCCACTCCGAAAATCGATTGAACATTAAAAATGCGTAGTCCTCACCATCTCCTAGCTACTTGGTGCGGGGCGTGAGCCAGGGGGACAACCCCATACATGGCTTTAATGAGCTGCCCCGCGCGGCTCACCGCCACGACCGCCCATCCAGCCCTACTCAGGCCGGCGTGAGCTGTGTTAAAGGCGCGTCCTTCCATCGACGAAGATTTCCCCAGAGAATTTCCACCCAGGAAAGACACCGACAAAGCGCAACCAGTTTTCTTCGGGAGCTTCGCGATGGGGAAAGCAATAGCGAAGGCCACAGGCAGCGACAAAACAATTCGCCGAAAAACTCATTCATACCCTGGACATGGCTGGCAGCTCGCTTTACATGCTCAGGGCAGTCCTCGGGCCGCACTGCCAGGCTGATCGAGGAGGAGGAGGAGGAGGAGGAGGAGGAGGAGGAGGAGGAGGAGGACGAGGGATTTTTGATGTGTCGGGGGTCCTAATCTGGCCCACTGGGGACATCCGAAGCTCTTCAGGGACCCTCTCCGCCTCTATCTGGGGAGTCCTCGTTCGAGACCCGTACTTCGGGACTCCGACTCCAATGTTTCCCCTCCGTGTACGGTCAGGAGCGTCTGTTCAGCGTGTCGCGCCGCCGGTTCTGGCCCAACACGCACACGCTATCCGCTCGCAGGGATACCGGGGCCGCCACCGCAACACGCTAAACACAAGTTCCCGACATTAGCCCGTCCAAAAAAGATTATTCTGCGGTTTTGCGTGTGACGGCGGAATCAGAGGGGGGCACCAGTCGAGCCAAAGGAAGCATCAGCCCAAGCAGGCCACCACACCAGCGTAACTCTTGAAGAAGTCGCACATGGCGCCGTACCTTACCCACCATGCGCACGCGTGCTTAGCATGACCTGGCCTAGCGATGCTCGGCTTCGCTCGGATTAGTTCTTAGTTGAAGGGTGCTTAGCTTATCTCAGTCCAGCCTGACGTCTGCTCATCTCCCCAGCCCCTACCCCCGGAGCAGCACGGCCCACTCGGAGGCGTGTTGCGAAGGAGGAAGAGCTATCCCGACCCCCACGATTGGCTTGTATTGAGCAGTCCTGGGCGTTTACAGAGCAGCAAGCCCAGCCCTGTTCGATTCCTTCCTCACGTGCGCATGTACGTCCCAAGTGGCTTCGCTTGTCGGGCTGCTTATCACCAGGGTGCATCTTCTGCCCTCCTGAGCTGGAGTTCCTTGTCTGCCCGTTGGAGCTCTCCTTGGGGCCCTCTCAGAGATACATGGGGTGGGCCTCTCCAGGGCTCGTGGGTCATCTTCCTCCCTGGCCCGCGAGTCGTCGTCGTTGTCGGCGTTGTTGTCGTGGTCGTCGGTGCGTGTTACTCTGTTGTCTTCGTCGTCGTTATCGGCGTCGGCGTCGTCGTGGTCGTGGTGCAAGTTGCTCTGCTCGGGCCTTGCTTCCCCGATGCAGCGACCACCACCACCACCACCCAGGCCCGCGCACTTGTCCTTGGCTTCGGAGCGTTGGCGCGAGGTGGGCATGCCAAACCCGCAAGAGGGGGAGGCAGGCCCTGGGCACCTCTAGCGGACAGGGCTGGGCCTTCCAGCCGCGAAGACTGGAAGGCAGACCCGGCACCGCCCATCGGCACAGGGCCCCCCACCAGCAAGCCAGCAAGCCCAACCTCCGATATAGAGAGAGAAAGAGAGAGAGAGAGAGAGAGAGAGAGAGAGGGAGAGAGAGAGAGAGAGAACAAAAAAAAAAAAAAAAAAACACACCGACGGAAGAACCCCACATAAGAATCCTCTGGGCGAATCTGGAAAAAGCCATCACCGTCGTCCTCGTGGTTGGTGAGGCGTCCTGGCTGTCTCTTCTGCGTATATTTCCTCTCGCCTTGGCGCGGGCCCCCCTTCCACTCCTTACGTTGTCCCCATCCTCGCCCCCCTGTTTGTTCCGCGCCCCGCCACCTCCTCCCCTTCCTGTTGCATGAGCGCGCATGTCGATGTTCCTCGGCGCCGTCGCCGCCACGGCCAGCACAGGCGCGTTCTCTACTGGTCACGTCGCGCAGCCGTTGGGACAACCCCGCGGGCCAGGCTGTCGGGACAACCCCGCGAGCCGTTGGCGCGCAAGACCAAGCCGTTGGGACAACCCCGCGGGCTTCGAGCGAGGCGCAGCCGCGCTCAGGCGGAAGGCAGCACGAAGCCCAGCTCTGCCGCGAGCTGCTTCGCCTCCGCCCTGGACAAAACCGCTCTCTTGTCGAACTCCAGGAGCGCCTTCCGCAGGGACGCCGGCGGCCCGCACTCCAGGAACTCTCGCGGCGGCGGCCGCAGGATCAGCATGTTCCGCATGCACGTGGCGCGGGAGAACATGACGTAGAGGTGCAGCCACCACTGCTCGTCCGACATGCCCGTGCGGCCAGCGTCCTCGTCTCTCGCGCAGTCGATGGTGACGCCCTTGCGCAGCGTCTGGCCCTGCGACAGCGTGGAGGTCAGGTAGGACGCGTGCGTCAGGGTGAACCCCGAGCGGCGCACGCTGTGCGCCCCCGAGCTTTGCCATGTGAGCTCCCTTTCGCTGGGCCTGAACATCAAGCTCCGCGCCCGCGCCTCGGCCTGGACGTCGTCGTCGGCGCCTTCGGCGCCCTGTCGCAGCACCTCGGCGACCTCCTGGTAGATCGGAGACTCCTTGAAGCCGTGCACCTGCAGCCAGATTCCCTGCGGTAGGAAGCGGGGGCGAAAGAGCTGGCCTGCCGAGCACTCCTCGTAGCGCTGCTCGTCCTCGTGGTGGAACTCGAAGGACACGATGGTGGCCCGCTGCTCCTGCACGAGCCCCAACTTCTTCTTCAGCTCCTCCTGCGCTGCCGTGAACCGCACCTCCATGCCGACGTGGGCCGGCAAAACGCCGTGGATGTCCCCCGTCTTGTGCATGTTCGGGACGTTCAGGAGGCGCCGACCCGCGTCGGGCTCGCCCTGAATCGTGCCGCACTCGTCAACGGCCTGCAGGAAAACAAGGGGCACGCCCAGACGCCGAGCGTCGCGACGAGCGCGCGTGTTGATCCACCTCGCCAGCGTCTCCCAGTATATGCCCATGACGTAGCCGAGCCGAAAGTTTTCGTGCAGGTGCCGAGGGTCCAGGACGCCCTGGTTGTCCGTGGCCAACGTCTTTTCCCAGGCGGACCAGACCTCAGGTGGGAAGGGCTTGCCCTTGCGCATGCAGCCCAGGAGCGTGATCAGAGGGTCCCCGGGCTCGAAGCGCTTCGTGCCCTTCAGCTCGAAGACGCAGGGGATCTCAGAGAAGACCTTGATGGCGTGCTGGATCTCCACCGTCGGCGGGTCCGCGTACCTGTACGACTCGTCGTCGTCCAGGCGCTCGTTCACGTCCGTCAGGAGGCCAATGCTGCCGGTGGGCTTCAGCTGCAGGAAATCGCCGAGGTGCAACACGATGGGCACGCGCCCGAAGTGGTGGTGTGGCCGCTGGTAGTTCGACTCCTGCACGTCGTGCGTGTCACTGCGCAGTTCACTCACAGACGAGGCTCCCGCCAGAGACTTCCTCCATATTCAGGCTTGAGGAGCCCAAAAGTGACGGCGGTTACAGGGTTCCGATGACCCGCTCGGATTACCAACATGATCCGCGGGCCCCATAGGGAGGGAACTCCCGCCTGAGACTTCCTCAGAATTCACTCACAGACGAGGCTCCCGCCTGAGACTTCCTCCAAATTCAGGTTTGAGGAGCCCAAAAGCGACGACAGTTACAGGATTCCGATGACCCGCTCGGATTACCAACATGATCTGCGGGCCCCATAGGGAGGGAGCTCCCGCCTGAGACTTCCTCAGGACGAGAGACTTCCTCCCAATTCACTCACAGACGAGGCTCCCGCCTGAGACTTCCTCCATTTTCAGGCCTGGGGAGCCCAAAAGTGACGACAGTTACAGGATTCCGATGACCCGCTCGGATTACCAACATGATCTGCGGGCCCCATAGGGAGGGGGCTCCCGCCTGAGACTTCCTCACAATTTACTCAACGATGATGAGGATGAGGATGATGAGTGGTGGTGAAGATGAGTGGTGAAGAGGATGATGATTGATTGTGAGTGGTGGTGGCGATGATGATGTTTGAATGAGGATGATGCCGATGATGATGATGATGATGATGATGATGATGATGATGATGATGATGATGATGATGATGTTCGTGAGCGTGTGAGAGAGTGCGAGTGATGATGATGATGAGTATGTGAGTGACTAAGCATGTGAGAGAGCATCATCGATGATGCTGATGAGGTTGATGATGAGAGAGTGCGAGTGAGTGTGAGTGTGTGTGTGTGTGTTCCTGTACCTGCGCGGGGTGTCCAGAGAAAACAAGAACCCCACTTTGGATGTGGGGAAAAAAGACGCCGTCCCTGCGGCCCCACACCTCGCACGCCCGCGGCCCGCGCCGCGCCCGCACGGCGCGGCGGAGAATGAGAGGGGTGATGAAACCAGTCTTGCCGCCATGACTCACCCGACAATCGAAGAAGAAAAAACGCCATAAACATAAACTTCTGGGCGCTCCGCGCGGATTACTCGGATCTGCGCTGGGCCCCCCCGGCGACCCTTCCGGCGCCGCCCTTGGCGCGCTCCGCGCGCCAGCAAGGGGAGTCCAGCGCAGATCCAAGAAATCCGCGCGGAGCGTCAAACATTTATGATTATGGCGACTATCCTTCTTCTAGACAAGCGGGGATTGCGCAGCGACATGCCAGAGGGCGACGTTGCCTGAAAAGTTGTGCGCAAGCGCAGGCTCCCCCACAGCGCTTCTTCCTCAAATTGTCTAGCAGGTCGACCATCGCGTTCTGGCGACGTCGAATCTCCCGCTCCCAGCTTTGAGCGCTTCGGGAAGTCCGGGTTGTCCACCCTTTACTTGACCTTGGGGCTGTCCTCCATGATGGCTCTTGGTGACACCTCCTTCTCTTGATCCTCCCCTCGAGAATCTTCTTGAGGCGCGGCAGCGGCATGAACAGCTCCAGAATCACGAGGAGCGAGTGCAGCGTCGGCACCAAGAGGAGGAGCAGAAGGATTGCTGGGGATGCTGGGGGGCGCATCAATGGCCACCCTGGCCTTGCCGTCCCCAATGACGTTGCCCGTTCCCCTGCCGTCCTCGAAGCAGGGCCCACCACTTGGGCCTCGGCTTTCGCGAGCTGCACGAGAGTAGCCAGGAACTCTAGCAACACTAGGGGGCTCAAGATCTTCACGAAGACCGTGAACAGCTTCCGAGAAGCTCAAGTGCCCAGCGGACGCGAGCCGCACGCGGAGCTCTGCAATCTTTTGCTTCATCACGTTGGGTGCGCGCCGCAACTCGGAGACCTCCGAGGCGCCACCACTGCCTGGGCGGAGGTGTGGTGCGCGGCACCTGGCGTGGCGCAGCGACATCACGCGGCAGGCGGTGGCGCGCTGCTGCTGCTCGCGGCGGCGGCGAGCGACACCAGGCGACGCAGCGCCGGCCGCCGCGCCAGACATGGCCGCGGCGGCGCGAGCGGGGGCAGTCCACCTGGGGAGGTCGCCTGCCAAGCGGCCGCGGGGGTCGACCCGAGAGGTTGGCACAGAGCGGCAGCTGGTGGGGTGGGAGGCAGGGCGGCGTCTGGAATGAGGAAGGAGAGAAAATGATGAGGAAGAGCAAGAGGGAGGAGGAGGAGGAGAAGGAGGAGGAGGACGACGACGACGACGATGAGGACAACAAGGAGCGGGAGCACAAAAATGAGGAGGAGTAGAAAGACGGAACAGAGGAGGGAGGGAGGAAGAGGAGAAGCACGACGACGAGGGTCGTCCACACCCTCCTTCGCCTTCGTCATCCTGTTTCGCATCCTTCTGTTCTGTGTTCTCGTCGGCCTCGACGTCGTCCTTATCCTCTTACTCCCTCCTTGTCGTCGACCGCTGCTGCCTGTTGCCGCCCTGGACGTCCGCAAGCGCCTAATAATTCATTCATTAATTCATTCCTTGTCGTCGCCATCCTGCTCCGCATCCACCTCTTGCTCATCGTCCACGCCACGTCGTCCGCATCCACAAATATTAATTCTGCCTTCCTCTTCATCATTCCTCCTGTTTGTCCTCCCATGCTCTTCCACCTCCTCGTCCTCATCCTGCTCCTCCGCCTCCTACCTTCTCATTCTCCGCGTCCTCCTTTGGGAGGAGGTGACTGGGGAGCAAGGCGAGGAAGACGAGGAGGACGACGAGCGTCGGGAGAACACGGTCGTGCGGCGTTCCATCACGGACAGCCCAGAGGCCGGGCACGACGGGCATCCGTTCTGCGAAAAAAACACAGACGCAATTAATCGTCGATCCCCACTAGAATTTGGAACAGATGGGAAGTGGATGGGGGGACGACGAACATCCAGAAGAGTTGGAACCATTGGGGCATCCTAGGACTCGTGCCCACTTGTTTGTGTGTCCATGGGTCCCTTCCGAGGAGCCCTCCGCCGACCACCACCACGACAGCGACGGCGGTGGCCGCCGCCGTCGCGTCCACGGCGACGGCGACGGCGGCGGCGGCGGCGACGACCGGAGACCCGCCGAGTCTCGGAGGCCGCGGCCAGCGCCGGCGGGCACCCCGCCGTCGCCTCGGCCGCGTCGGCGAAGCAGGCGCCGCCTCGGCCGCGCCGCCTGCGCCGCCCCTCCGCGGCCGCGGCGGCGGCGGCGGCGGCGGTCGAGTTGCCTTGAATTCGAGGAGCCAGACGAGGCCTTTTCCCACGCCACCTTTTCCTCCTCTTCTCTCTCCTCTTCCTTTTCGCATCCCCCTCCTCCTTTTCCTCCTCCTCCTCCTCCTCCTCCTCCTCCTCCTCCTCCTCCTCCTACCGCGATCTCCTGGCACTGGCGGTCCGGAGGGTGAGTCGCCAGGTCTGCAGAGCAGGCGAGCCGCCAGAAGCAGTCAGGCAGCAGTGCATGGTGAGGGGAAGCAGCAACGCAGCGCACACCCGAGCCGGAAGCGCTCTAGCCCGCGAGCCGCCTCGCGTGGCGTGCGCCGCAGCCGCCGTATTGCCTCGCTCCAATCCCGAGATCGGCAGTGCATCTCAGGGCGAGAGAGGCCGAGGATAGACTGTTCCAGAGCGCCCCGGAACGCTCTCAGAGCGTTCTTCGCTCCGATCCTGAGATCAACAGTGCATCTCAGGGCGAGGAGGGCCGAGGGTAGAATGTTCCAGGGCACCCCGGAACGTTCTCATAGAGCGCCTCAGGGTGCTCGGGAAGGGCCGCGGCGCGCGCCACATCCTCCGGCGAGGAGGGCCGAGGGTAGAATGTTCCAGGGCACCCCGGAACGTTCTCATAGAGCGCCTCAGGGTGCTCGGGAAGGGCCGCGGCGCGCGCCACATCCTCCAGAGCCGCCGGGCCTCCGAGATCTTCGGTGAGGGGCAGCTGTAGGGGTGGAGGGGGATAAGCATAGGGGGGGGGGGGGGGAACATCGACCTGGACTCGGCGATACATCGCCGATCGATCGGCGATAGGCCCCCGATAGTGGATCCGCACATTCGGGCAGGCCCGGGCTATCGGGCCACTATCGGCGATCAATGGGCGACTGTGGGTCGATGCGCCCCCCCTTGTGCCTGTCCCCGCCTCACTATCACTGCCCCTTCTGTCAGGAGTGAAAGAAGGACGTACATGTACATGAACCCACGCTGGTTTCGAGAGCGCGCATTGCACAAATGTTCGTGTCATGCGGCCGGTCTCGCGAATCGAGGGGCCGCGTTTATGTACATAGCTGGGCGCGTACGTCCTTTGTGGGCTCCCTATTCTGGTCGGGCGCTGTCCCAGTCCGGGTCTCACCTCGGGCGGCGGCGATGGCGGGCGCTCCGCCCTCGCCCCGCCCGCGTCGGTCCAGCAGGCGCCGCCCGCGCGCGAGGGCGCCCAGAGCGCCTCGCTCGCGGAGGGAGGCGCCCGAGGGTGTTCCATCGCCTCGGAGGTGCAGTCAACCATGATAGTGAGGATGGGGCAACTGTCCAAGGCTACTCCAGATTTCGTAATAAAAGGGAGGGGGTCTGGACCTCCAAGACAAGCCATTTCAGACCCCCCCCGTGGGAGAACCCTCCAAAACATCGTCCCCAGACCCCCCCATATCAACCGATGGTAGCACACGAAGTCTACTCGGGAACGTTCGAAAAGAATTGATAATCTTGATTATCGGCCGTATGAAACGTAACGCAACCTTTTACCTGACTCAGGGGCCCCTGAACATAAAACGGCAATGGTACATGGCAATCGTACTGCAACGCTGCAAGCAATACTTCACATCTGTGCTAATGTGCATACTCTCTGATAATAATAAACACTACACAAATTCGGTAGAACAAGAGTGATATCGACACGGGCGGAAAAAGGAGTTAGCACAGATTCGCTTCAAACCAATCATCGCCTAGAACAGGGCTCCCCGGAACTTTACCAGGAAATGAAACTCAGACTCGAAACTAACGAGAATTTCAAAGCGTTCGGGAACGGGACCGAAACTAGAACAGATAAATATCCCCGACACCGCGGGTCCCAGGACACAAATTTTGTCTGACAAGACTGTGAAACCACCGGCGGTCGCGACAGCGACATATATCTCCTTAATTATTTTCAGCAGCCAGGCGATCGGTCGAACTCGCCTGGCAAACAAGTCCGCGCCTCCGAAGGCGCTCAGCAAGTTGTGCTTCTCGAAGCACCTCAGCAAGTGCGGCATCGCCGCCATGTCGCCATAGGCGTAGGTCCCCCTCGTCGCAACGATCAGCTGAAGAATGCCCCGTGGGCGTACTCGGGCAGTGGCTGGAAACTCGGCTGTGCCAGGTCCAGGTTGTAGCGCGTCGGAGCCTGGCAGCACATGTCTCGCGTCTTCTTCTGCTTGACTGGCTTCGTGCTCGTCCCTGTCGTTGTGGTCCCCGCCGTCGTCGGTCTGGTCGGGACTGGTCCCGTCTCTGGCTCCAGCGTCTTGTAGTCTGCGCTCGTCGTCTTGCTCATCAGGTGCATCCACCACACCCCTGCACAGAACCCACAGCCGAACGCCAGGATGAGGCATATCACGATGCCGAGCATGAGCAGCTTCGTGATCAGGTCGCTCCAGTCGTCGGGCGCCGGTGTGTTGAACAGCTCAACGCCGCTGGGCGTGTACTCCATCAACTCTCGGGCTGCACTCGATGCTCCGCTCGCTGCCAAGGTTGCCGCCAACCTCGCCCCACTCGCGCCAAAATGGCGCTTCCTCTGTTTGGGCTTCTCTTTTGGCTTCGCTTCGAACTCGTCCGCCAGGTCATCTCCAGCCTGGTCCAGCTCCTTCTCGCGTTGCTCCATCGCGCGCTTGGTCAGCTTCTTCCCGGCCACGAAATTCGGGTCGTACCGTAGAGCGTGAATTCCACGGCGCAGCACGTCCGCCATCTGCTGGCGTGCGGAGAGCTTCGTCAACCCGTCCGCCATCTGCTGATGGGTGTTCACCCACTTCCACACTGCGCCGATCTCTTCCATCTGCTCGTTCACAATCTTCACCTCGATGGCCGTCCGCTTCTCCGTGATGCCCAGGCCTGCCGTGGCTGACCTCGAGGCGTCGTAGAGGCACTTCGCGTCCGTGATGAACGGCGACTCTCCGAGGTACAGCATCGCTTGGTCTGGCTTGAAGTCTGGCCGCAAACTCAGCGTCAGGTAGATCTTCACCCACATCAGCGAGTCCACGCCTAGCGCAGCTGCCTGCGCCTCCGCGGACAGCGAGCTCTTGCACAGCCGCACGAGCTTCTTCGAGGCCCACTCCATCCCCACGAACGGTGTCGGGTTGCCGTTTCGCAGGTCGTCGTCGGGTCCAACGAAGATCGTATAGCCACCCTGCGAGCTCCCGTCCAGGCGGCGTGCCCAACTCGCGTCGGAGTAGCCTCCCACGCGTAGCTCGCTCCAGGCCTTGTCGAACCCGAAGTAGAGTCCCACGTCCGCGTTGGCCTTCAGAAAGCGCAGGTCCTTGTTCGCGTCCAGGAGGTCCTGCACCGTAGCACTTCCCGTGGCCGCTGCCCTGAAAGAAACAGTCGCTGCGGCTATCATCAATCCTTGAGCCGCGGGCCACTGCAGCTGACCGTTCAGGGTCCTGAAACTGGTGAGCTCCTTCGGCGTCAGCGCGCTCGTCGGGCCTGCCCGACGGTGCTTCTCGATGGTGATGGGCTTCACCGCGTGCAGGTACTTCTCGAACTTCAGGGTTGCCGCGCAGGTGCTGAGAGACTGCTCTACCTCGCCGCCGGTGAAGATCAGGCTCGGCCCGAAGTCCCACTTGCCGAACGTGAACTTCTGGTTGAGCGCGCCCAGTCTCGCCTGGAAGCACTCCGAGTTGTCCAGCATGGTGTGCAGGTCGTCCTGACTCCCTCGCCGCATCCGATGAAGTCGTCCACGTGCTTGCCGAGCAGGCCGTCCACCACGTAGGTCTGGTCCTCGAAGCTGCACGCGTCGAACGGGTCGTCCTCGACCTTGGCCGGGCGCAGGGGCAGCAAGAGGCAGTCCTCGAGCCAGTGGTTCCTGAACCCGATCTCCTTCGTGACTTCGTCGGAGCGGTAGTGCCAGAGCTTCGGCGACCTCGGGTCTCCGAAACATGGCTTGATCATCTTCAGCAGCTGTCCAGGTTGCAGGCCGATCTGCTGAGAGAGCATCTCCCTCATCTCCTTCGTCGGGCTCGCGTACAGCTTGAGTCCGCGTACGCTCACGTCCTCCGCCTGCAGGAATGCGGACTTCACATCCGCCGTGAACAACCTCCACTTCCGTAGGGACGCCCAGAGCATGACCGTGTGCCGGCCCAGTCTGCTCAAGGTCGGCGCCTCCTTGTCGAGCTGACCTTCGGCGACGTCGCGATGCTTGAACCCCTGGTACAGCACGCGCGCGTTAGCCACCTTCTGTCCGTCTTTCGTCTTCCACTTCAGCAAGAACCGCAGCGGACAGCAGGCTGCTGGGTCCACGTCTTCCTCGTTAATGGGCTCCCAGCCGTCGTTCTGGTTGAACACCTCGAGGGCCTCCAGCTTCGCTGCGTAGAACTGTTCCTTCTCCTCGGGCGTCAGCTTACCCTCCACGATGGCGGGGGCTTTCCGCTTGAAGGCCAGCATGTAGACCGTCTCAGTGGACTCCTCCAACAATAGCATCTCGTCGTCTACTTCTTCGAGCAGCGTGGCGCGCTCGTCAGGAGGGTTCAGATTGGCCCACGTCAAGCGGGCTCGCTTCGATAGCGGCACGCCGCCCAGCTTCTCGGCCTCCTCTACGCTCCTCTTGGCCATCGTCTCGATGTGGAGCCGGCTGGGCTCTGGCGCTGCATGGCTTGGTGCACTTCCGCTCGCGGCGGCGCCGGCATCAGCCGCTGGGGAATGCGGTGAGTCTCGATCAACTGCTTCCACGCCACCAGGATCGCCAGGCTGAGCCTCTCCGAGAGCTGCCGCTGCAGCTGCCCCCGACGCCTCGCCGGGCTCCTCCGCGTCTGTCTCCTGGACGTCGGGCCCCCGCGCCTGCGGCTGGTCCCCCATGTCGTCCAGGTTGTCGTCGTACTGGGGCGTCTGCCCCTCCTCCGCCAGGTCCCTGTAGTTGCAGGTGCCCTTCGTCCGCTTCAACGCGCGGCGCAGCTTCTCGATCAAGCTGAGCGGGCTGTCGGGGTCGTCCCTGCGGCCCTC